CACACACACACACACACACACTGACTTCATGGGAAGCGCCCACATTCACAAATGCATAGCGAATCATGCGGTGCACTTGGCAAGACAGGCCCTTGAGGTCTAAACCCCGGTTTTTGCTTGATTGGTTGTCATACGAATTCGCCTTGGCATGTACCGTCCGCATGCCCGAAGAACTCCGCTTAGGTGACCTCCAGCGCAGCTGTGAGCCAACTTGCACCCTTTGCCATGGACGTGGCAGCTTTAAGTCCCAAACCACCCTAAACGCCGGAACCCCCTATTCCCCCAACCTTAAACGCCCTTAGCCCAACGGGTACTTTCGTAGGCATGCGCGCAGACGGAATGGGTTCTTCAAAGAAGCCCTTAGCTCGACCTCCGAAAGTCGAAATGTCCTAAGCCACGGATCCTGAAACTGAGGTTTCTTTTGGCTGACGTCTACGGAGCGCCGTCAGGCCTATTACATGGCTTGTTACCGGGGTCGCGCAGTGGGAACTGCTGTGGGATTCGAACTGTACATAGTTTGTGCAGTTTTTCAGTCAGAGCTCATCCTCACGTAACACCTAACAAGCATCCCTGACAGAACGTCACATGCTAGTGGAAGCACTTTCGAGTTACGAGAGGTAGGTTCCAACGTCGCCCAGATGTAGTTCAGCCTTTGGGAGTTTCGCGGGGTCCTTATGACAAGGGTCTGTAAATCAGGTACACTTATGTTCAGAAAGCCCCCATTTGATGTTGCAATGAAACCCTAGATGGCCTCAGCCGCAAAATCTCAAACCCCCAAACTTCCCTAGACCCCAAATAACCCGTCGTTCTAAACCCTAAGCCCAACAACTCAACGCTCGTCCCTGCTAAGTAGGAGGGGAAAACACTCCACGCTCAATGCCACCCTTCTATGACGGCTCGTCCTTGCGAAGTGAATTGCGGAGTTCCTAAACCCTAAACCCCAAACCCCCAACCCTTCCAGCAGTGAATCTACTGTTAGTTCCCTTACTTTGTGTTCTTGACCAGTATCGCTACAGACCTTGCCAGGCTCCTCCGAGTGTGAGTGTCAAAAAAACCCTAAACCCTAACTTCCGATGATGCCTAAACCCTAAACCCGAAACCCTTGTGCATCATGTGTCATTTTATCGCTGTTTACATAGTCTTGTTGATGCTTTGGATAGTTGCAGAAGTTGCAGGCATCCCCTCGTCAATGTGTCATGCCGACTATTGCACCTATGAATCCTCGCCTGGCTTTTCCGAGTTGTGAGAGTGTAAACCCTTAAACCCTAAACCCTAACCCCTAAACCCTAAACCCATAAACCCTGAAACCCTAAACCCTAAACCCTAAACCCTAAACCCCTAAACCCTGAAACCCTAAACCCTAAACCCTGCCATGCGGCAGGTGGCCGAGCTGGGGCAGCGGGCCACGAAGGCGGGCGGGGGCGGGGCGGCACAGGTTTCGAGTTCTTTCGGCTAGTTCTATAACGGTTTTGGGAGTTATGGCTTCGGGTTTGGGGTGTCGGGTTTAGGATTTCTATATTCGGGGTTTAGGGTTTAGGAGGATTCTACAAGGATTCTGTGACGAAGTGCTGCGAAACGGGTTCTAGTTGCTTCAAGGGCTCCAGAATGGTCACATTAGATTTAGGGTTGAGGGTTTCCCTCTCTGTGATAGGGATCCTAGATATTACAGGCGGCATCGGGGTTCCCTAAACGCTACACCCTGAACCTTAGTGCCTTCGGAGTCAAAGCCGCATCGCATGTCTTCCAACCGGATCATCCTCGCCCGCGCAGTCCGAGATGCGAGAGTCCAAACCCTAAACCCTAGAAACCCTAAACCCTAAACATGTGAAACAGATCGAACCATATGCCTCGCCTGGATTGTCCGAGTGTGAGCGCCGAAACCCTACACCCTAAACCCTAAAAGCCCGTGGAGGACGCCGAGAGTCTCCGAGAGCTACTGAAAGAGACCCACGTCCTGGCGCAGACGGCTCCTTGTCGAAGCTCGCTGGGTGGGTGGCTGCGATTCACGGGTAGTTGCAGTAATCAAAACCGAAACAGAAACACTGTGTTCACTATCAGTGACAGTAAGAGCAGTAATGATCACAATGGTATTGATGGCGGCGTAGGAGTCGGGGGCTTAAGGAACAGAAAGATGTATTTGTCGAGGCTCTTCGTTCATGCTGGCTCAAGGTTGTAAGAGCTGCCATGTATGATCGTCAAGTGCAACCAAGAGCTTCGAGTTTGAAACCCTAAGCAGCCCTAACACACTCCCGGCCCGTCTGCAACCCCTACCGCACCCGCTTTGCTTCGCTCTCGCAGCCATACCGGCCTGCCACTACGACACAGAGCCGACCGCAGAAACAACAACAACAACAGCCGGAAGCCCTCGATTGGGAAGCCCGGCGGGTCTCCCAAATCCATCGCCAGGTAGATGAAAGCCTCTCTTCAATCAATCTGGATTTGGGATCCGGTGGATGCCAACGCCGTCTTCCACCACCCACAGGAGCCACCCGACAACGATGAGGTGATGGCGAAGGAGTGCTTTTTGGACGGAAAGATCGGGGCGCGCCTGAACAAACTGTCCAAAGCTACCTTGGTTGACCAGAAAGGCGCTATTGCCATGGTCACCCGCGAGGATGGCAGCAGCCACGAAGTGCCCTCGACCCGCATGCTGCCTTGGTATGAGGGCCTTCTTGTCCTGCAAGAGCTCGAGGCCAAAAGCGATGCTGGGATCGCTTGGTTTGACGACCGTTGCCGAAACCTGCTGATGCAGGAGCGCAAGAAGCGTGGGAAGGTGAACGCCGCGCTCTACGTTGAAAAGAAGTTGATGAACCTTTCTGTCACAGGTAAGCGGTTCGAGGATTCAGAAGGAACTCCCTGTAGTTATCGACGGCCGAAGGTGGAAGACACCGAAATTCTGGCCGACAGCGAGGATGAAGCACCGCCGGGCCGGTTTCGCATCGCGGACATCACTGGCTACATGCCCCCTTGGGAGGCCTGGTGCCACGAACACGGTGGCTTCTACCAAGACTTCTACCAGGTGCGCTGGAAAGACGAGAACGGCACAGCCTGGGGAGCATTGAATTTTTCGAAGATGAAAGTGGAGAACAGTGCCGCCGAACCAGGTTCGACGTGGGAGCCTGACGAATGTATACCACCCAGCCTTGATGGCATGAGGTTGCGCGAAAAGGCCAAATGGCTGAAGCGCAAGCGCGATCAGGAGCAGAAAGCCGAGAAGGACAAGGAACTTGCAGAGATTGCGGGGAAGTCGAAGCGCCCCCGAATCGAAGGCTCATCGCTGACCTTAGATGGAGGGAGCCCTGTTGAGGTCGAGGGAAAGCCAGAAGCTCCACCTCCGAAAATGAGCAGATATCGGCGCAACGGCAATCCGCTCATCCAAGACATGTTTCGCCTCAAGCGTGGACATGACTTCGATCCACCGCAAACCAATAAAGATCCGGATGTTCGCAGTGGCTGGCCCAAGCGAGCCGAGGACTATCCGCCCGGCTACGGTTGCGCAGACCCACCCGGTCTCTGCAGTGCCACGTGCGATTGCATGGACGATCAAAGGGCTCAGAAGTCCTGGGAAACTAGCATCTCGGTGGCACTTTGCAAAAACTTTCGCTTATTATGGTCCCTGTAGAGGTACCCTCATTATGGCCCCTATAGAGGTCGGTCTAGAGGTACCCTTGGTCCCTCTAGAGGTACCCTCATTATGGGCCCTATAGAGGTACATAGATTCATAAATCCTTGACAGGGGCCCTAAACCTAAACCGTAAGCCCCAAACCCTAAACCCTAAACCCTAAACCCCAAAACCACGACGACAGAGGCAAGAACTGGCTCGAGGATCCGAGACGGGCCTCCGATGCCACGATGGCCATCGACATGCTCAGCGCGCAGACTCGGTTCGTGAGAAGAAGCTTAGTTCATTTTTTACAAACTTTTGGGGCTCTTATAATTTAGTGGTGATCTGAAAGTTTAGCCTTTTGCTTCTCTGGCTTGTTGGGGAAGTAAGGAAGGGGGCAGGTTACGAAGTGCTGCTTCTTTGAGACAAGCCAAACGAGCCATGCGGACCAGACGCACACAAATGCGGCGATCAATCTTTGCAAAGTATTGGAGGAGTCGGTCCGATCGGTGCTGAAGGATCTACCTATGTTTGCCATCCAAGAAAACGGAGATTCTGTGCGAATACCAGCATGTGCCCTGATGAAGACGTCTGAAGACTATGCGCCGGTACAATACCAGCTAGCACAGACCTCCACTGCTCGAAAGTGGCTGTGTCTCGGTGAGGAAGATGGCAAGCTTTCCCTCATTGGGAAGGGGCCCCCAAGCAGGCCGGCTCCGTTCAGAGTGGAGTTCGTCCACCCAGAAGGGATGACTGCCGTCGTGGACTGCATGGTCACCGACACCCAGCAAAAGTCTTGGCTGTCGGCTTCGGCAACGATCGCGGCACGATTCATGGATGTGGGACACTGTCCTTTGTCGCGCAACGCTCGCGTTGTTCTGCAGGAGCATGTGGGAAAGATCTTTAACTTCGAAACGAAGGCGGCGAAGGAAATTCCGCTTGGCCGCTGGCTCGACGTTGTAGACCTGCTTATCCGCATGCTCAGGACGACAGCAATGGCTCATGTGGTGAAGTCCGATGCCGCGGCACGTCTGAAGTAGGCCGGCGATGTTTCACACAGCCAGTCGCAAGACACGGGCACACCGTTACGATGGGTACATGAGAGCCCAAGCATGAGTGACTCAGGATGATCGAGCGTCACTGTGGACGCCGTGTTTATAGACCTTGCTATGCTTGGCCGTCTGTCAGGGCTTGGGAAAAAGTCTGGATTGCTGCTTGCACGCTGCCGGCTGACACATAATTGCATCAATTTTCGTGTCTAGGTCTGTATGTTGTTGAGTCTTCGGTTTCGGGGCTTTTGGGATCAGCTGCTCTACGTATGCCAGACTAGCACTAGTTCTACTAGTACTAGTGCCAGCTCAGTGTCTCGAGGTTGCCTTGGAAGAGCACAAGGAGCGCGAGGAGCTCCTCTGGCAGCGGCTAGGCCCGGGAACCAGCGGAGAGCTCTTGCAAAAGCACAGGATCCCGAGGAAGTGGCAGCAGTAGTGGTGCTAGCCGTAGTCGTAGTAGTGGTAGTGGTAGTAGTGGTGGTGGTGGTGGTGGTAGTAGTAGTAGGAGGAGTAGCAGTGGTAGTCGTAGTGGCAGTGGCAGTGGTACTGGGAGCGGTAGTGGCCGTGGTAGTGGGTGATAGTGGTAGCAGCAGCAGCAGCAGCAGCAGCAGCAGTAGCAGCAGCAGCAGCAGCAGCAGCAGCCGCAGCAGCAGCAGCAGCAGCAGCAGCAGCAGCAGCAGCAGCAGCAGCAGGAGCAACAGCAGCAGTTGTTTGC